CGAACCACGGTCGATCACATGGGAATCCAGTGCCTCCCTTATGGCCCTATTTAATCATTCTTCATGTGTGTGGGATAGCGATCAAAATCCTGGCACTCTCTACTTACCCATATATTTTATTCCTTCAATAATTACACAAGGGGAGTCACATACTCGCACTGTTCATTTTAACTGGTACCTGTATATTCACTATACCTTTTTTCTACTTCTCCCAATGAAAGCATGATCACGGGGCGATATCTCTTTGCTCATTTGGTTTTCTGACTGAATTTTATTTATTTCTCCTCCCCCCACCGCACCCCCACTTTCTAATTTGAAAACTCTCAGAAATTGCGAGAAGGGTTTAATGAATACCGGTTTAATGAATACCTTTCCGGCCTTCACCTCTCTTCACCAACTGTTTGCTACATTTGCTTTATCTCTCCAAGGGAGATAGTTTAATGCAGTTTTGCAACAGCTTATGTGGGCGTGCAGCCTGGAGGTCATAGCCCTGCCGGGGATTGAGTCCAAGGTGAATTTAGCTAATGTTCTGCAGAATACTCTGTTGCAATCATCAGGAACCCGCCTCGAACAGAGCTGCTCACAGAGCGCTTCTCCTAATCACAGGGGTCTCTGCCAGGTCTCTCGAGTTGCCTTTGTGGTTTCTGAATGGTTGCTTTTTCTATGTGGTAATGGGAGACTTAGTATCCAGCTCTTGTTTAAGAATTAATTTGAAGGGCCAGCAGGCAGTATAGTAGTTGAGGCGCTAGACTCCCATATGGCTAATAAGTGGTTCGAGTCCTGGATCCTGCAGCTTTGAGACTCACCCTGGGCATGTGTGCATGCATGCCAGAATCCCAAAAGGAGAATCGAGGAGAAAGGACTGAGATGTGGCTATCTCTCCTAAGGGGTGATTTCTCACTTTCTCTCTCACTGTCTCTGTCTCTCCAGCAAGCACACCCACCCTATAGCAAAACAAACGAACAGGATTAATTTGAATCGTCTCCCCAGGTTCAAATTCCTTGCTGTATACTCCCTTCAGTGATGAGTAAGGTCTTTCCTGCCATCATCCCCAATGAATTAAAAATTGTTCTGCATAGGGGCTGGCAGGTGGCGTGGAGGTTAAGGGCGCTGGGCTCCCACATGTCCAGCCACGGTTTGAGTCTACCTGGCGACTTGCTTTCTCACTTTCCTTCTTCCTTTTCCTCTCTGGTGAAACTGAAATAAGCAAATAAATAAATAAAGATAAATAAAATAATTTTTAATTTTTTTTCATAAATGAGATGTATAAAGTATCTGGAATTCAATGAAAAGGAGGCAAGAAGTGAATGATTGCATGCACAGATAAATATATGACAAATAAGTTATCTCAGAAATGGTTCCTGGGTAGGACCAGCAGTTAGCGTAATGGCTATGTCACTGGACTCCTGTGTAGTCTACAGCGGTTTGAGTCCCGGACCCGGTTGCTTAAACTCACGCCTGGTGCGTGTGCGTGCGTGCCCACGATCCCAAGAGGAGAATGGAGGAGAAGGGATTGCAGTGCGGCCATACCCCCTGGGGGTTTAATTCTGGCTTTCTGTCTCTCTGTCTCTCTCTGTCTCTCTGGTGAGCGCACGCACCCTGTAGCAAAAATCTCTCAAAAAAAAAAAAAAAAAAAGATATGATTCCTGGGTCAATTTCATTACCTGCTAGCTCCTTGTAGTATTTTCATGACTACCAACCTTTAAATGCTGCTACTTCTCAAGCTGTTTCAGCAAATAGTGCATGTTGTATTGCTTCGCTCGAATATGACAAATACTCAACTTAAAATTTAAATTTATTTATTCATTTTTTAGGCAGGCTCTTGCTGGGCTGCAGTCCTCCTGCCTCAGACTCCTGAGCAGCTGAGACTACAGGGACGCACCACTGCCCTGACTGTCATCATGGGCTGGGGACTGGGGACTGATGCTTTCAATGACTCTATTTTCTCCATAAAGTTGTATGTTAAGTGATATTTTTAGCTACCATTTGATATTTTCTAACTAGAAAAAGCTGTCTTTTTTTTTTTTTTTTTGAAGAGGTTTTTGCTATAGGGCGCATGTGTTCGCCAGACAGACAGAGACAGAGAGACAGAAAGTGAGAAATCACCCCCCA